ACACTCTCTCACACACACACACACACACTCTCTCACACACACTCAGTCCTCTGTTCCCGGAGCTCAGAAGCGCGTCCAGCGGCGGTGGGTTAGTTCAGCTCAGCCTCGACGACAACAACCAGATTAAAGTTCTTCGTTACTGAAGCAGCTTGAACAAGCACACGTGTGTTTCTCAGGACAGCTGAAGATCTGCGGTGTTTGACCTGTTTATGAGCTCAGCAGCAGTTTCACAAACCAGTTTTGTCTACATTTTCATTTCTATAGCTGTGTGCAATGTGCAGATCTCATTTGTAAGATATTTTTGTAAACAATAAATGAACTGAATACTTTAATAAATTAATACTGCAGGTGTACTTTTTTCTGTCGTTTCTAATGTAATTTGGACGGTAGATATTGGCTAATTCATGTAGCTTCGCACGGTTACACTGTATTTGGAGCAGACAGCAGTAACTCAGCAGTGTAAAGACAACTTTGCCTGACACACTGAAACTGACACATTAGCTTTCATTGCAGTAAACCTTAGAGAAAACACTTAGAATCTCATAATAAACTAAAGCAGGTGCGGCTTACATATCTGAAATATCAAAAAGACAAGTTTGTTTGATATAAAAATTGCCTTTTAGTCACAAATTAATATAAAGTGAAAACAATTTTAAACATTTTGAAAATACCTAAATGACTGTCGTTATATTAAAGTTAAACCGTTTTTACGTTTTGAATGGATCACGTGACAAAAACCGTTAAACTGACTGGAGCAGAGCGCGCGAATCCGCCGGAGCTTCTGAGGTAAGCTTCTCTTCACCACAAACTATATAAATTAACCTTCTAACAGTCACATGATAAAACCCATAATACGTCTGTTAAAGATTTACATGAATAAAAGTGTTGAATTCATAACGGAATTATGCATGAATATAAAAAGACAACACAGGTGCTCATATTTGATCGCTAGCCATCTCCGTTTCCCTCACTAATGATGTTTTGTGTGATTGATCATCAGTTTGATTTAAACACGGAGGCTAACGTTACATGGCAGAATGTTTTTGTGGACGACACACATTTGTAACGGGTTGAATGTGGTCACGAGGTTAAAACGTGAGAACGTCGCATCAACCTTTCTGAAATATATTTTTAAAATATGGTTTTATGAAAACTCTACATCTGTCTCAAGTATTTAGGAAAAAAGCGTTCATCAGCAGGTTTGTTTACATGCACTAATTTTGGTCGATCTGAATGAATCCAGTCCGAGTTCAGATACAGCAAAGTTGTTCATATGAACCCTAAATATTGCATTCAGCGCATGCGCAGAGCGTCAGTCGCCGCGTTCAGAAACAAAGCTACCGCGAGTGTAATTGTAGTTTTTGCCTTGACAGCATACCTAAACTGACAGATGTCAGAAGAGCTTTTTAGTAAATATTCAGCCTCATCCACTGTCTGTTCCTGAGATGTAAATAAACATATGCAATAAACAAATAAATAAACACACTTAAAATGCATGTAAACGTGCATCACGACACTGCGGTATTTTTGAAACTTATTGAAAAAGTCGTCGGATTCAAGCTTTTACATGCTTATTTTGTCCTGTTGATGGGGTTATCTCAGGTCTACAGCACCCTCTCAATCGGATTGTTTCGTAAATCAGTTTCCTGTCCACGGTCATCATAAAGCACAACAGATTTACACGCCCGAAAACAACCGTAAAAAGTATTTATTCAGTAATCATTTCATTTGTACTCTGTAAAAACACAATCTGTATTTTTAAGACAGTGCAAAATTGATTTTCTCAGATCAGAATCATCTTTAGATGAGTGAAGCAGCTCGGCTCGGATTACAGTCAGAACCACACGGTCCAAAACCACAGACACAGAAGGCCACAGACGGACACAAACGCAGAGAACAGAGAAACTCCCCCGGTACAAAAATGCATTGAGATTTGGAGGGCAGGTCTGAAGCGATTAACATAATGAGGGGAGGAGCTCTGGCAGTTTGACTGGCACATTCACTGTCCTATCAGCATTAGCTCTCGTACGAGGCTCCTCCCACACCGTCTCTGACTGGCAGGTAAACATATTCAGGTAGCGAGGCCTCTCATTGGCCGACACCCCCGGTGCTGCTCTGTGATTGGCTAGTATCGGTCCATCAGAAGACGTAGATTTTGTCTCGTTGAACCGTGTCGAGGTCGTCGTCCATCGTGAGCAGAACCTGAGACCACAGACAGACAGGTGTTTAGCTGACATGATGATTTTCAGTTCTCTTTGAGTCTGACTGATGTTCTGGACTCACCAGGAAGGATCCGAACATGGCGATGGAGGACAGGAAGTGCCAGATGTCGTGATCGTCAAAGAAGGAGAGCAGGATACACTCACGGTTGTGCTCGCGAGACTCCGCTGGAGTTTTCTGGTGAGACACAGTTTGGTCAACATCACTGCATACAGGTAACACAGTTACTGACCCGCCGCTTAGTGACTTTATTTAACCAATGAGAAGTTGAGCTTGTGAATACAGGGTGACGAAACACAGCGCAGTGACTATATTCCCTATAAAACACCACCTCAGGTGTCTGACTGCTTTTGGAAAATCTGTTATTATTATTAACATTATCAATGTCTCTACTCTCACTTTTGATCAATTTAATGCGTCACTGATGAATAAAAATAGTAATTTCTAACCCCACATTTTTATGTATATATGACAAATAAGATTTAGGGGCAAAAAGGGGTAAAGTGTGTGTGTGTGACCCACCTGCCATGTACTGAGACCCTGAAAGAAGAAGAACAGAGCAAAACCCCAGACCACAGCGGTGAAGAGAATACACACCAGAGCCAGACACTGGATTCGCTCACCGCTGCGCAGCTGCACACACACATCGATCGAATTGGGTCAAAAATAAACATCTGAATGAGTTAAACACAGACACCACAGGACAGTTCTTCAGATCCGGCCCTCGAGGGCCACCGTCAGTCAGGGCCGGATCTGAAGAACCCTGCGGGAACACGTCAGGACCACAGGAAGTAGTATAATGATGTCATAATGAGAGCGGCACCTTCATTATGATGTAAAAGGCGAAATAGAGCAGCAGGTTACAGATGGCGATGGCCAGCAGGTACGAGGCGAAGTCGTTGGGTCGTTTGATGAGGCCGTACGCCGCCCTGAACACACACACACACACACACACATACAGGTCATGTGTGTGCTCATATCATGTGATTGAGAGAGATGTGAGATGATGATGATGATCAGCGTTACTCACAGTGACCAGTTCACAATGTTTCCCATCACCAGCAGAACCATCCGATCCTACAGACACACACACACACACGTCAGACAGACAGTTTCACTGCGACAGCTGTGTGTGTGTGTGAAATATGTCAGATATGTGAGTGTTTGAGTGTGAGTGTGTGTGTGACTCACCGAGTCTCCAGCGGCCCATGTAGTAGAGCTGTGTGCTCAGCAGCAGTGTGGCCAGTATGTGTATGACAGAGAAAACGATCCAGAACGCTGTGTTACCCTTACCAAACACCTGACACACACACACACACACACACACACACACAGAGAGAGAGAGGTTTGACTCATATCAGAAACAATTCTGGTTTTTCTATCAGTTTAATGATAAACCAGCCCTCACATGATTTGGCTGATTTATGAGCTTAAACACTTGGATACAGATGTGTGTGTGTGTTTGTGTGTGTGTGTGTGTTTCTCACCACTCCCAGCACAGAGAAGAATATGACAGCAGCCAGACAAGCGTAAGCGGAGTACGCGCTGGCGTTGATGTCTGGGTGTCTCTTCTGATACAGCTTCAACATACACAGTCCAGCAATCATATACATGAAGGACGTGTCTGAAACACACAAACACACATTCGATAAATGAGATCAGGGATTCCCAAACTTTATTATAAGCTAAAATATTTACTTAAGTTAAAGTCGACATGAAAATTCACCCTCTCTGTTTTCTAAATTCATGTTACTGATCTGTTACAATTACTACCATTTAAATGTTTTGACCTCGTGATTCATAACTGATCATCAGTCTTCTCTTTAGTGACATATGCAGGACTATTCCAGTCAGTCAGTGCTCTTAAGCTCCGCCCATCAGGCCTGCATCTCAACATCCAATCAACAACTGATGCACTCAACCACGTCCCGCCCTGCACTTCCTCTTTTTTGATAATCCGTTATATGTCTGATGTATCCGATGTAGGTCACAATCCCTGCGGTACATGAACATCATCACACTCACCGAACTGGAAGTTGGTGTAGTTCGGACAGACGTGGTAGCAGGCGCTGAGTAGCCCCTCCATCATCAGAGCAGTGCCCATGGCGTAATACAGGCCGAAGTGCTTGGGAATGCCACACTCCTGAAGACAAACAGCTGATTAAAACACAGCCTGATTCAGGTGTCTGAAGTGAAGAGAGTGGACAGTCAGTGGGTCAGACAGATGCGATGCTCTCTGCTTCTCACCATAGCTGTGCTCTCGTTGCGCTCGAGCGCGCGTTTATGAAGGATGTCCCTCTGTAGGATGATGAGCAGGAACAGCAGCCCCAGCAGCACATAACCCAGGTTACTCAGGATGTTATTGAAGGAGCTGAACACATCACGACACTCACATTTACTGCAGATCTTTACTCGCAGTTTTTTGTCTGCCACTTTAAATGCTTGAGCTCTTTGAAGTTGGATTCTGATTAGCTGTCAAAGGTTTTACTGTTCATCAGCAGTAAAAAATTCCAACAATATTATTCTTCTTATGGTCTGGACTCTGCTATTCTCACTCTAATTTTTTAAACTTTATAGTTTTCATCCTTGATGAGAAAAGGCTTTATGCATTTAGACAGTTTTGTGTCCACTAATTACTTCCAAAATGTCTGATGAATGTACACACACTCACACTCTCGTGCGCACACACACACACACACACACTCTCTCTCTCTCACACACACACACTCTCTCTCTCACACACTCTCTCTCACACACACTCACTCTCTCTCTCTCTCTCTCACACACACACTC